TAAATATAATACAATATATAATGTAACATCGTATAACGTGTGATTTCTATAATGCATTTGTATTTACATAACTGTATATGACACAATATTACTTATACATTTATATTATTTAACGCGTTCTCTTACGAAATTAATTTGAAAACGATCCTGTATAATTTAAAATTTTTAACGATACCGTCCACGGCATCAGAAAGCTGGAAAGGATTAATGAGCGATTACTCCTTAATTCGCTTTTACATTAATACATAATTACAGGTGCAAGCTATTCGTAATCCGCAGAACATGCTTACGAAGCACATTTTGATCTTGGGAAAGCCCGTGGCCCGAGATCGATTTGCCGCAGGAAAGGGCAAATTACTCCCTAAGGGTTAATGAACGGTTCATTAATGACGTACTAGAATGCGATCAGTTTTGCTCGAGAATGCCAAACGTCGTGATTAATGTAATGGATTAATTTTTCATTATTCCACGAATACCCGACATCATCGAGATATGAAAAATCGATATGTGTCACGCTTTTCTTACGGATAATGTTTTTGTTCTCTCGCAATGATATACATATTCTCTTAAATAACTTTTTTTTATATTTAAAACCAATCATTCTAATTAATTCTAAGAATGTCTCCTCCAGATATTTTTCAATAATTAAAATTCATATCTCCTTGAAATAATTATGACTATAATTATTACGCTCAAATCAAGAGGTCATTTAATCAATTTTAATTCGAAAAGAACTGCTTTTCAAGTATTGATTTCAATTATTTGTAGCGTGAATTTATGAATTAAAATAAATCAGAATTTTTATTCTTCTCACAAATAAAATTAAATTCTTCGTAATAATAAATAAAATATTTTAATTAATTTTATCAGAAGAAATTCTGTATTAATTGTTGATTCTAAATCGGGAAAGTTAATTTTATCGGGAACATGTTAATTTTATTAAAAATTTGAGATCATTTCATTTGATCGAAAATTTGACGATCTTACCTTTCAGTCACATTGACACATAATAACTGTCACTCGCGCGATGAAATCATGTGATGGAAAACGAAGAAAAGAATTTTAATCAATTACAGCGGAAAAACTGCGTTTGTTCTAGCTGTTTATTTTTCACTTAACCATGGAGTTACACGGTAACTTCCTCGGAAAACCTGCTCTTGTCGTCGAGGTTGATAACTATGGCATGTGTTCTAGCGTGGCCGGATCTACTCCTGGATTTGTCCCTTAAGTCAGCCTCTTTACTTTCCCTCCCGTGACATGCTTCCCTATCGACCTCCTCGACGACATGCTCCGAGGATGTCGACACGGCGATGTCTTCGTCGATTTTCTTCGATTCTGACATCTCATTATCCTTCGACGGATCCTGCTTGTTCTTCCTCCCGAGTCCGTTTTTTTCAATACACGCGCGACATCGATTCTCATTCTGTAAATCGTTTCCTAAACAAAAGTAGAATTATCTGCTCACAGGTTCTACGAGAGATGCAGCGCAAAATTAATAAATCATTCTAAACGATCGCAGAAAAAGAAGAAGAAGAGAGAGAGAGAGAAAGAAAAAGAGAGAGATGAATAAATAAATAAAACTCCCATATACCCGATCGGATATTTCCGATTTCTATAGAAAATCTAATTGAACTGGGCAATTTTCGAGAACATTATTTTATAATGTCATTTATTTTCCCTCTTTCTCTTGCCTTTCAATACGTCAGGAGCAGTTTCCTTTCCAGCGTTTTCTTTTGCGCTTTTTAACTTCCAACTTTAAATGTAGTAATTTGAAAATATACACTTTTCTGACAGAATTTTTTATTTCTGATTTTTTTATCTCTCTCTCTTAAACTGCGTCTCTTATTCGTCTGTTATTTCAAAACCGAAAAAATGTTTCTGATTTTATTTTCGACTGTTGGCTTCGAGCTCCAAAATAAATTAGTTTTTCCCTCAATTCGAATTTTTTGCCGAGAATTTTATTTCCATTAATACGAAATTTCCATGTTAATCTCGAAAAACGGTTACAGCACATGTTTTTTAATAAATATTTTTATGATATTTATGATAAATCTTTATAATCTGTTAAATCTAAAATCACAAAAATATTTATAAAATATTCAAATAATTATTAGAAATATTTTATACATATTTTTAAAAAATTTTATGTGCTATCTGAGAAATTGTACTCAGCAAATTTTTGCTCGGTTTCAATCGATAAACTGCTTTTACTCTTTGTCGGGAAATTTTGTTTGACTTCTGCTATATAAAAGACTCTGCCATTATTTAATATAATGAAGTTGGATTTAATATCTTTATAAAAGTTATCTTTCCGCTGATAAAAACATGTCCTATACTCTTTACAACATTGCAAAGCTTGGAATATCTAGATACTTACGTAATTACAAAAAAACTCAAAGTTCTCTCTAACTTTTAAGTCAACTCTTATTATATAATTATATAATACTGATCAATAAGCCGACATAAAATGCTGTCCCTCTTTCTCTTGCCTTTCAATACGTCAGGAGCAGTTTCCTTTCCAGCGTTTTCTTTTGCGCTTTTTAACTTCCAACTTTAAATGTAGTAATTTGAAAATATACACTTTTCTGACAGAATTTTTTATTTCTGATTTTTTTATCTCTCTCTCTTAAACTGCGTCTCTTATTCGTCTGTTATTTCAAAACCGAAAAAATGTTTCTGATTTTATTTTCGACTGTTGGCTTCGAGCTCCAAAATAAATTAGTTTTTCCCTCAATTCGAATTTTTTGCCGAGAATTTTATTTCCATTAATACGAAATTTCCATGTTAATCTCGAAAAACGGTTACAGCACATGTTCCACAATCTGATTTTTCGTCATAAAATTCAACATGCGGGTTTTTAAATGATCCGGGTAAATTTTTCTCTCCATACCTGACCGATCCTGCTCTTGAGACCCTTGACAAGCTTGTCCAAGATTAGTTTCCTTCGTCGATTTATCGAGATCGTTCGACTGGATGATACTAGTCGAAATGGCTTGAATGGTGGATACTTGAGCTTCGATGCGATTTGAAGCGTCTAGCATGGCCGCTAGCTTGCTGACTAACTCCTGATTTCCTAATAAAATGTTCTTCTCCTTCAGGACTTCTAACTGGTTGAGCAAACGGCGAAATTCCTCCTGGAAATAAATATCCCTTACCCTTACCTTATATCTAACTTAAGATGCTAAGAAATTACAATTTTTAAATTCCAGAAATCAGATTCTAAGACCTCCGAGATATGTACAATATTTCTAAAGCTTTAAGAACTTTCTTCAGGTTTTAAAAATTTTAACCCAAAATTTTTATGATTTTAATGTTTTTTATTTTCTTAAGATTCTATAGCTCAAAGAAATTCATGAGATCCCAAGATACTACAAGACTGTAAAGTTTTAAAGTTTTAAGGTTCAAAAAGAATATACACTGCTCGTTCTTTTAAAACTTCAAGACTTTAACAATTTTTAGCTCTTACGATGCAAAGGGGATTAAGCTGGCTATATAATAATAAATAAATAAAAAAAATTCGCACTCTAAATCTACTAGATAATGTTTAGCTAGGAGGAAGCGCCATAGCTTTAGGCTACTCTCCGGAGATTGGTAAGTCTGGCGATTTCGGCTTACCGTGGCAGAGTCGCTCTCCTCGGCAAAATTACCCTGCTGAAGCGATATAGAGTTGGTCTGGTTACTGGTGCCCTGCGGACGACTGCTTTTGCCCAAGAATTTGCCGGTCGCGCCGCAAAGTTTTCCGATCGTCTCCTCCTTCCCCCCGCCGCGGAACACCACGTAAGCCTTCGTTAAATGCGACGTATGTAAAAATCAAACTTACGCAGCATCGGGATTTCTATTCAGGCTAGTAGAGGGACTTGCAGTAATCTTGCGGGAGATTGAAGCAAATGGGAAACGAAATGGAAATCGCGCGATTTAATCGCATCTTGTTGCCGATCGAATTTTATGTATATGTCAGCTTCATCTGACACCGCGAGATAATCTCGATTCTATCACAACAAATCTCGAATAAAGAGAATAATTCTTTATATATAATAAAAAAAATTTACAGAGCATATCTATTCAATCAAAATAATTATAATATTATTTTATTCTCTTTTATTTTAAACGGAGTTGAAAATATTCCCCAAAATAATATTTTTATTATCCTTTTAGAGATTTATTTAAATAAACCGATATATTAAATTAAATATTTCAAAAATTACGATTCCTGCAAATTTTTCGAAAAAAAAAGAAAAATTCATTAAAAAATATGTTATACTAAAATCCAGTTTAAAACATTCTTTTTGCGGATTAATAAACGTAGTAATTTTACACAAATTATTTAATACCTAAAATAAATTTAAGGATATCGAGAAGATATTTGAATGTAAAAAATCAATCTTCAAGTAAAAGCGCGGGCGCGTTGGAGCGAAAGATATAACGCAATTGTCATAGTAAAAATGCATATAAATAATATTTCTTACTTTACTGCCGAATATCAGGCACAGCAGCAATGTGACGGTAAGCTGGGTATGGCAGAAAAATATGATGTACAATAAATCGGGATTGGCCGGCGATTGCAGGAACAACCTGCAGCAACGGGAAAGAAATTATTCAGAGCTGTTATCCGCACGAAGCGTTATCGTGACGTAAGAACGAGCCGAGCTATATCGTGAGTTGTCCCAGATCTTTTCCGTGTTATTTTTATTTTTATTTTTTTTTTCTTTTCTCCAGAGCTCGAAAATATTCAAATTGCATTCCTGACATTAGATCGCGACGGGACGTTTCATATTTATCGCGTCCGGATACCCGTTTGATGGATTTCGAAAATATTTTTTTCTTTTACAAGAAAATCGATAAAAAATTCCTCGATAGAGAAAAAGTGCTCGAGTAGCAAGAAAACAGAATCTTTTGAATAATAACAGCAATAAGCTCAGAATACTAAATAAGGCAAACTGGCAAATAAGAGTCAAGGCGTGGTTATTGGTGCGCAAACTTTTTATTCGGACCGATGGATTAAAAAACGGCCCGAAACACATACATTTTTAATGCTTGAGTATCACTGAAATTTAACAAAAAA